CTCAGAGATGGGGCTCATCGAAGCCCTTCCCAAGTCACCCCAGGCGGTCAATCCTCAAGTCTCCTTCAGCTCTGTTGTACTACAGAACACCCCATATCTGTGGACACCTATGGAATGGAGAGAGGCAGCTCACATGCTCTCGGGCAAGGGGGGCAACTCAGATCCAGCGGACTTTTCTTGGGATTGTAAGATTTCTCCACCTCAAAAAGGGATTCACAAATATGTTTGTTTTCTCTGCTCTAACAGACATACTATGAAGCCCAATGAACTGACATTTCCAAGACACTGGGTTCCTCTTATGGGAAGCCACTGTCATAAAGCACTCCTGGCTCGTTCAACATGACATCGTGAAACACCACTTCCCATAATAAGCTTAAGTCAACATTAGGTGATGTGGTATGGTGCTGTGTACATCACTGAGACGATGTGTCATTCAGATAATATTTCAAAATAAAAATGGAGCCTCATCAAATTGAGAGAAGTTGCACTTACTTTATTTTATGATGGCAAGGATCAAAGAACCTGATGCTAACTGGCTAGATGTGGTGGACCTTTCCTGACTTCTGACAGTGACTCAGCCCATTTTATTAACAAGCTAAAGCTAAGTAAATGATGAATCAGTGCCCGCAAAGCAGGAAAAAAATGCGTTTCCCACTAAAAATCGCGAAGTGTGATAAACCTATTTCCGTTAAGAAAACTGCTGGAGTTTTTACTGGGGGATTTCCCAGGCAAACAGAGGCAAAGATATATAAACCAAAGGCGGAAGGTAAGCACATTTCCTCTTAGTGTTTTTATGCTGCACACTAATGCAAACACAGTGCAAAATTCAGGGCTATTTCATGTCGCCCTCCTCCCCAAACCTGATCGGAAGAGATAACCTTCCATCGACTTGCCCAGGCCAGTTGGGCTGGCAAAGGAATGGGCCACATATCCGGTGGGAAGAGCACAGCACAAGGCAAAAGCCACAGGTGTGAGAAGGTCCACTTCACCACCCAGCCACATAAAGTACCGTTACCTTCTGCCCCTTCCTCCCCTTTTTACCTTCCATCATGGCCTACATTATCAACCACTGTCATTATTTAACAGCACCCTCTGGCTTCTCTACCTCAATCTCCCAGCCATGCCAAGGTGGCCTGCCTTCACGCTATGCCACATGCTAGGTGCTTCACCTGCTGTGGTTCTCTTAATCTTAACTCCCCATGGGGTGCAAGCAGAGGCTCAAATGAGTAAAGGAACACCACATTCTCTACGTGGGGCTCCTGATGAGAAGGGATGTGTCGAAGAGGAAAAGTGCAGGCAAATCCCAACTCTGGAACATTCTGCAAAATAAATGTCCTGAGTCTTCATAAACTGTCAATGTCATGAAAGACAATGATGCTGCTGATGATGATGGTAACTTTTTAAAAACTGGGGAACTTCATTAGATTCAAGAAGATAACAAGAAATGAGAACTATGATCTTATTAAATCCTGGATCAAAAGAAAGGAAAGGAAAGAAAATAAAAAAAAAAAAAGAAACTAGCTGTAAAGAACATTATTTATACAATCGAGGAAATTTCAGTATTGACTGCATGTTAGATAATGCTTTATTGATGTTCAATTTCCGGAGCATGATAATTACATTGTGATTATGCAGGAGAATGTCCTTCTTAGGAGATCTTTCCCGAAGTAATTAGGGTTAAAGCTCAATGATATTCACAACAATCTCTCAGAGGGTTCAGAAAAAACAGGCAAGCAAACAAACAAAGAGACCAAGAGAAAGAAAGAGAAGGGAAAATATCAACAGTGGGTGAATGTGGATGTGGGGTGGTATGAGTGTTCACTGTACCATTCTTGTAGTTTTTTTTACATGTTACAAGCTTTCTAAAGAGGGAATTGAAAAAAAATTAAAATTATAAACTAAGATAAAATGTTAAAAACAAACAAACAAACCGAAGTACCAGGAGGACCTAAGGAACACACTCAAACAACCAGCAACCGCCAGAGCTGGGCTGCGAACATCAGGTGTTTGGGTGGTGGTTGTTAACGCCAGTCGTGGCTAAAACCTTTTTCTACCTTTATTCTTTTAAAGGCTGTGTGCAAAAAGAAGACACACAGATTGCTTTTTCTTGTATTCTTGTAAACAGAGTATTAATGAGTATTAATAACAAGATGGGATGAAGAAGAGGTCTCAAGTGATGGTTTCTTAGCTTCATGATCTTGTGGAGTATGATTCTCAGCCAGGCAGAAGGAAATGAGAGGATGATTAGCCCATGGCTAGTATCACTTAAAACCTGACTGGAAAGTTAATAAAATGCTAAAATGAGTAAGTTCATCCCAACCTTTAGAAATACATCGGATCACTGGCAGGACTGTCCGCCCCCAGTGTCCGTTACCACTTGCCCTGCTCTGCTGATGGAGCTTGGGGGAGGAGGCTAGGAGCTGTTTGCACTTGACCACATAGGCAGAACGGTTAAGAGCAGTCCAATATCTTCTGATCCATATTTCTTTTTTTTTTTTTAGTGTTTTTTTTTTATTCTTATGTTAATCCCCATACATTACATCATTAATTTTAGATGAAGTGTTCCATGATTCATTGTTTGTGCATAACACCCAGTGCTCCATGCAGAATGTGCCCTCCTCAATACCCACCACCAGGCTAACCCATCCTCCCACCCCCCTCCCCTCTAGAACCCTGTTTGTTTTTCAGAGTCCATCGTCTCTCATGGTTCGTCTACCCCTCCGATTTCCCCCGCTTCATTCTTCCCCTCCCGCTACCTTCTTCTTCTTCTTCTTTTTTTTTTTTTAACATATATTGCATTATTTGTTTCAGAGGTACAGATCTGAGATTCAACAGTCTTGCACAATTCACAGCGCTTACCAGAGCACATACCCTCCCCAGTGTCTGTCACCCAGTCACCCCATCCCTCCCACCCCACCCCCCACTCCAGCAACCCTCAGTTTGTTTCCTGCGATTAAGAATTCCTCATATCAGTGAGATCATATGATACATGTCTTTCTCTGTTTGACTTATTTCACTCAACATAATACCCTCCAGTTCCATCCACGTCATTGCAAATGGCAAGATCTCATTCCTTTTGGTGGCTGCATAATATTCCATTGTATATATATACCACATCTTCTTTATCCATTCATCTGTTGATGGACATCTTGGCTCTTTCCACAGTTTGGCTATTGTGGACATTGCTGCTATAAACATCGGGGTGCACGTACCCCTTTGGATTCTGATCCATATTTCTGACTGACTATTAGACACATGCACACGGATGTTTTACAGCTGCCTAAAACCCCAACCCTGAAGTCCATTTATTACCATTCTTTCTCTCCCACTCTTCCTCCTACTAACCACTCCCTTTGCTTCTGTTAATGACACTTTTCCATCTGTGTCTAGAGGTGTAAATCGCAAATGAATTTGGCCCTTCCCTTTTATTCCATAAATACATTAATAATTAGCAATTTTCCTAAATAACAGCCCTTGGATAAAGTCTCCATCCTTCCCACTTCACCTTAGTTCAGATCCTCATACTACTCACAAGGACTCCTACAATAACCTCTTTCTTGTCTTCTCTACCTCCTGTCCCTGCTCCCAGCCTCGATGACTGCCATCTTGTCACCTGAGTCCCTTCTCTATAATGACAGTCTGATGTGTCTCTCTCCTCATAAATGGGCTATATGGTACCATATATGGAGCCATAAATGGTTTTTTGCTTTCAGTAAGAGGTAAATCCCTCGGAATAAAATATATTGTTCCACACAAAGCCAACCCCCTCTTACCTGACTTCATCAGTCCTGTCCACTCTGGATGATGGCACCTGAGCTTACTGGGACCTCCTTCCATGTGTGTCCTTGTCCCTCTCATATCTCGTATATGTTCCTCTGGCTGCCTTGGATGCTGCTCCCCATTTATGCATCTGGGAAGTCTTAATCTTCCTTCCATGCCTAGATCACCCTTTCTTCCCCTCCCTCCCTGAGGCAGAATTAGGGACGTCCTCTCTGGGCTCCTGTGGATCTAGATTACATCATTTATCCACACAGCATTACTATACTTTGTTTGTATGTCTGTCCTCACCCACTAAATCCTAAGGGCAGCACTGTGTTTTAATAATCTTGGCATCTCCAGCACCCGGAACAGTGTCTGACACATAGTACTCAACAGATTTATTAAATGAACAGATGTATTAGTAAGTGAAGAGGAGGCATAAGTAAAAAAAACTGTATGGTTTATCAAACTTAAAAACACATAATTTAAAGACTTATAGATAAGGCCGACACTAATGAAACCACAGATCGCAGGTTGAAATTCAAGATTGAAAACCTTTGCTGCCCATTAGAGCCATTCTTATGTCCCAGGATTCTAGGATAGCACAGGGGTCCCCACAAGAACTTGTTTTTCCTGTGGGTGTCTGGGAGTAACGCCTACTCAGGTCAGCTTAAGCCTGCTGACACGTGGGGAGAACAAGAGGGGCCACAGGCTGTCCACATCACTGGAAGGCTGGGCAGTCCAAAGACAGACCGAAATGTCCAGATTTAAAACGTTTCTCCCCAAAACTCTTTATGAGGGTGGTATCAACATAGAGTATTCAGTGAACAGCCCCTTGCTGGTCACCCACCTAAAATCCTGTGCCCTTTTATGCTACACTCCCAAGCTAATCCTGATCTCTGTGCCGAAGGCACCATCTTGCCTCTGGAAAGCTGTTCCGCCTGTGGGGACATTGCCTTGGAGCCGAGTCATGGAAACAAACTGAGGGGACGTGGGGAAGACGGGAATGGCATCAGCCCCTTCAGCTGGCAACCGCCAGTTCTCGGCTTCTCCCGTGGAAAGTAAGACAGATAATGAGATATTTGATCCACGTGCTTTGGGTGTGCACTTTCAATATGTCACCTTTGGAGAACTCAACCCAACCGATGGATTATTAGTAAAATTCAGCAACCATCCAGGCCCTTCTCTGTGCCGGGAAGCTGAGCGGCGACACCCAGTAGAAGAGAGACAGGTGGCCTTACCTCTCGGCTCCCGCGTCCACAGCTGCAAGCGGAGGTAACTGGGAGGCGGGGTTGTGGGGGCTCCCCTGCACACTCTGGCCCGGGGAAGGGTGGCCGACGGCATGTGGGGCCGGCATGGCCCCAGCAGCTGTTCCGCTTCGGCTTGAATGACTGTTGCCAAAGATGGAGGCTGGAATCAAGGGAGAACAAGCGTCAGACCGCACGTGCTTTCCATACGGGGGGCTGACAGCAAGCATGCTTGAGAGGCTCATCTGCGGTTCTCCCGGTGGCTTTGGGGGAGCAGTGCTCCGCTCACTGGACACACACAGCTTTCCTTTTCAGGGGGACAGGTTCCCCAGCTCATGTGCCTTTCCTGTGGCTCGCTCCCGCTGACGCTCACAGGCTGGCTCGCTCCCTGCCTGGACCTTGTACTGCGTCGATCATGTCACGTCTGCGTCTGGGCAAAGGTCTCTGGGTTCTCACTACTCAGTCCCGGGGGGACGAGAGGTAACAGTAAATATTTGGTCTGCTGACCCCGAAGAGGCAAACACAGGCCGTTTGCCCCTTGTCCTGGCTGCAGCGAGCCTCCACGGGCCAGGCTGGCGCTCTCTCTGTCACTGCTAAATCAGGGTAATGAGAACACCGTCTCCTGTCCTATCACCAGTGTAGGATCCGACACCCTCTTAACCTCAGAGTCTAACTGAGCCCGGGCATTTCCCTGATGGTGTGATACATGGACACACTCAGTCTCCATCAATGGTGAGTCCGTGCCCAGCCCCACACAACCTGAAAAGGGGCCTCAAACACAGCTCTGGATCCCCCCCAACACACACACTGTTGTCTGTTACAACACAGAGAGTGAGTTACAGCCTCATTCGTAGGGGCAGCCTAGCCTTTGAGAACTGTACGTGACCCCAAACTTAAATACATGCCCATTTAGATCAGCTAATTGGTACGATGTCACAAAAGAGACGGGGCTTGTCACTTGCAGAGTCTATCACTATCAGAGAGGCTCTCAGTGTCTGAGACCCACTCAGCACACATCTCATTATGCTGCAATCACACCAGCATCATTACGCTGACTCCCTTCAACTTCCTTCTCTGTACAAAGCGATGCAGAGCTTTATACCCATCTCTGCTCTTTTTGAACTTACTCTACTGATGTCAAAGAATAAATGGATCTAAAAAAAAAAAAGGAATCAGGTTCAGGATCAAGAAGAAGAAGCCACATAATCAAGGAGACTTGAGGGTTTAAAAGTTCAGGGAGTGCTGCTTTTAGACGGGCACCACTCTCTCCAACCTCTCCCGGAGAGCACGAACACCCCACGTGACCCAGCCCCCAAAAGCTTCATCCGACGGAACAAGAGTTCAAGTACTTAAAGGAACATGTGAGGAAGCAGAATTACCATCTTCCCGCTCAAAAGCTACTGACAAGAGTGTGATCTGATGTGAAGGGTTTATTTCTGGTAAGTCAGCACAGTGTCAGGTTAACTCCTGTCCTCAGAAGCCTGCATCCTCCACAGCCCTCCAAGACCTGAAGAGGTGGTGAAACTAGAAAGTGCTTACTCGCTCAAAGAGGCACTGTGGGCCTTCAGTTGTGCGTCAGCCTCCAGAAAAGTTGCACGTTTGCAAACTCGCTAGAGTCGCCTTATGAATCACTACCCTCATTTATGCTCAGCACACTCAGGCAACCACAATTCTGCTTGTATTCCAAATAATAATTTTACCCAGGGGAGAAGCCTGTTTGGATTGACTGCAGCAACAGTTTCAATGCTGGTGTTTGTCAGCGTGGAGCTTGGTGTTGTATACACTATTCCAAAAACTAATGGAATAATAAGAGGTCACAGAGACACTGTGGAAACTCAGCTCAGTTTTTTTTCTGCCTTAGTATAGAAACGTGAGCTCTCTTATTTATTCCGTTGTAGTTGCCGAATGCATCCCTCACTTGCTATCCCCTGGAGGTATTTTTGCATGTATGTATATGTGTTCATCACAAGGGACCACTGCCCCTGCTGTTTCCAACCCCGTGGGCAACAGGGACTCTTGGTGTGCTCACTCTATGCTCTACTCTGTGGTTCAACAGAAAATGTGGTGCTTCCCAGAGGGCTCCATGAGCTGTATCAGCGACATTTTTGCATTAGCTGCAATGAAATACCAGGTTGAGAAATTTGGCATTGTTTGCAGCCTGCCACACACTGACAGGCTGAAAGGCTGACAGGCCTGGTTAAGGGCCTCTCCTTCATCCCATTTAATAGCCAGGACCAACCATCTGCCAATCCCTCCATCCATCCGTCCGTCCATATGTCCTCCAACCATTATTTTTTTAACCCAGGATTTATTAAGTGCCTACTACAGGCTAGCCACTCCGTGGCATGTGGGTCCCTGCCCTTGAGGACGGTGCAGTTTAGCGAGGGGAACAGGTCTCTAGACATTCATTCTACCCAAATACTGAGACCTGCCAGCAGATATCATCAAGTGGTGTTCTAAGTGCTCTAACACACTTCTCATCCGTGGCCCCACTGTGCCCTCAGATCTGGCCAAGTCAGAGAACTGGTCACTCCTCAACCATATCACAGCAACCGATGCTACCGTGCTTTCGATTGTAATGTCCTCTACCTTCCTCTACTTTAATACTTTTGCTCTGTACTCAGTACCTGCGTTCCTCTGAATCCTCTCTCAGCAGCCAACTATTCCACAAATATTTATGGAGCATGTACTGTGTGGCAGACACTGGGCGAGGTCCCAGGACAGACCAGGGAACAAGACGCCTTTGGTGCCTACTCTCTCCGACAGCATCATTCATGTTTGTTACATCATCCATGTAAACAAGGACGGACACAATCTAAATGTCAATGGAGTCCATCTTGGGCCCAATGAGTAGGACAGGAACAGAAAGTAACTTTTATCTACCAAATCCTGTTCCTTATTGGTCAAAGGTTGCCCTATCTAGGGTGTTACTTCTCCCACCCAAGTAGGCGCGTGTAGCAGAGTTGCTAAAGTTCTCGCAGATGCCCAGCACCAGGGCATCAGAGAAGCCTGAGGGCAGAAAGCCAGAGATTCGTGGTACAGTTGAGGGGAGGAGCTTCTGAGTTATACTTGGTGCCATATATAACATGGCAATGGCTGCCGGTAGGACTAGGTGGTGGAGAGGGTATGAGGTGAGCATACAAGGTGTATGATACAGGGCAGAAGTCTCCGGAACCTGCCTTCCAGCTGTGCTGAGGTCAACCGTTGACTGACCAACAGTCAAACACACATCAGCAGCCCTTTCTTCCACTGCTAAAGCTGGTGAATGGCATTGAAACCGGCAGCGACCCTTTGACTGGGGACCCCTTGAGAATAAGAAAGGGAGGGCGTTAGAGTTCAATTTAAAGTCTGAATTGGTAAAGTATACAGAATAGTTTCTTATGTCAGTTGAAAGAAATCAAAGCAAAGCCCATGACTTGCCTCTATTGCCTAAGAGATGGGATGAGAAGTATAGGACAGAATCTCTCCTCGTGAGGTCCCCTAGTCGAAGCTGATCGTTCAGCAGGTTTCGTGCAGTCCTGGGCAAGACTGCTGCTTGCGGATGTTGCCTGTAGCCACTACAATGACCAGAGACTTCAAGGAAATAAAAACAGAGCATGGTGTCCCAACATTCATCCAACCCCATGTCACATACCCTTCTGTTGTAATGGACAAAACTCTGGGGTGAGAGAACTGGGGCTTGGTAGGATTGCCCTTGGCCTCTACCTGGGAGCCACAATTCTCAGTGATTGCCCCTGTGGCCCAGGAAATGCCTCTCCTACCTACACTGACTTCTAGGAATTTCCAGCTGTATCAGTCATACATCCAGGATTCCATCTTCATGTAGTCTAAGAATATCCATTCATTCATTCATTCATTCATTCATTCATTCATTCATTCAAACATGATTTTCCAGCCCCTACTCTGTACGAGGCAGGTGCAGGTCGCCATGTTTGAAGCTGAGCATCTGCTGACCTCACACAGAGTGCCCAACACAACATGTGCCTCCAGACAAGTGGTCGAGCTTTGCCCCGTGATTTTTTAACCTCCAGAAGAAAATCTCCACGTTAGAGAGCAACGGTAAGGTCATTTACAAAAGGCAACATTTCCTTCCATACTCAACCAAAGGGGCGTACAACGAAGCCTGTCAATCAAAGCGTAGGGAAAGGAACTGATCCCTCTAGAATCAGAGCAATATTAACAAAACTGCTGTGATCAAATCAAGTGGTGCACATGGGGGTGGCCTTCATTGTGTGGTGTCACCTCGGGCATTCGTGCCACTTTCGAGGCTGGAAGAGAGCTTTTAGGTGAACCTCTAGCCGGCACTGATGACTGGCAGCTGGAACAACTGATTAGGCATGGCCGAGGAACATATTGGAAATTCTTATTGCTTTTGTGATTAAGAGATGGCGGACTCCCCAGGGAAATAAAAGCCTGGTCTTGGGATGGATTCATGAGCCCTGCCTTCAGCGGAGGGCCGGGAGCTGGCCTCCCTGACACTTTGGGTTTTCTCTCTGGAGCATAGCTTACTGCAGTCCCCCACCCGTCTCCTGCAGAGGGAGGTGCAAGTTACTCAGCTGGGCTTTATAGTTTTAACAAAGCGGCATGTGTTGATCTATGTGGCCCCCAGAGGCCATCTTGCCAGCTACTGGGACCAGGGCATTCGAGGCTTGAGCTTTTAACTAGCTCAGGTTAATGGTTAATAAACAGCTCTCTCTCTTTATCCAAATGAAAACAATCAATCTATATTTCTAGGGGTACAGACAGGGCACCCCGGGGATACTTTAGCTGTCATGTATTCACTGTGTGAATGGACACAGGCAAGGCGTGTTCCCGAAAGGAGGCCTATCTGTTTCAGGCCCTCTCCCAAGGCCAGAGAAGGCTACCCTGGGCACTGCTTGGCAACTGTGTTCTCACCATTTTAGAGGACAGGGAGGAGGACCTCCCTCGTCAGGTGAGGTATATGAAAAGAGCCAATTGGAGGGCATAATCTTGTTCAAAGCAGCATGGGCAGTTAGAGTCCTGCTTTTCAAGTTTTCCCTTGCAAACCAATCACCAGGAACAAATACTGATTCTGATTCACTGGTCCTGGAGGCAGGCTGAGGTTCTGAGCTCGTATTAAACTTCCCAAAGTCCCCTGGGATGCTGAGGCTGCTGATCTGGGAACTGCACTAGGAGCAGCCG